AAGGTTTGAACATCAAACCAGTATTCCTCTAGCATGAACTGAGTTAAACAGTGCATGCATCTCCACTTGCATGTACTTCTTACTTGGTGTTGCTTCAGGGATACCCCAGTTAGTGGAATAACAGAAATAAACTTACCCTTTGCGTTTTAGCTGTGGGCTTGTGGTTGTCCTAGCTGCTTGCTTGTGCTGACTCACACAATAGGTAAAAATTTTAGATGCAGCATATTATCTGAGTGTCGTAAAGGTCAAAACTGATAGAAGATAGAAATTTCAGAAGTCAAGACAGGAGAATGTCAAAGAAATAATAAGGGACAGCAATATATTGCAGTAAACTTTTTATGAAATAACATCCAAATTTTCCAGGACTTATCCTAAAATGAAATGAATCAAAATTTTTGAAGTCTGTCCTTTCTCACCTTAAACCTTAGCAGATCAGTTTGTAAAATGCTATTCAATCTTTGTGCATATCTGTCATTATTACAGATTCAAGATCTGCCTTTAGAACAGCCAATAGTATCTTGCTTAGTGATATTTTAAAATACATATTTTTAATTATAATATTCAACATACTTTAAGTTGCTCATCGATTTTGTTGTGCCTTCACTGAATGCAATATACTTGATGTCCTGTGACTCCACATTAATCTCACATACAGTATGAATATGTTTATTTGAGAATTAGTTATTTTTTTATGAATATAAAATATAAAGTACAATTCTTACAAGGAGCAGCTGAGGGAGCTGGGTTTGTGTAGCCTGGAGAAAAGGAGGCTCGTAGGGGAGACCTTATCGCTCTCTACAGCTACTTAAAAGGAGGCTGTAGCCAAGTGGGTGTGATAGGGTTGGAAGTGATAAGACAAGAAGAAACATACTCGAGTTGTGTCAAGCAAGGTTTAGTTTGGATATTAGGAAAAATTTCTTCACCAAATGTGTTTTCAAGCCCTGAAACAGGGTGCCCAAGGAGTGGCTGAGTTACAATCCCTGGAGGTATTTAAAAGACATGTGGACAAGGGAATTAGGGACATGGTTTAGTGGCAGACTTGGTAGTGTTAGGCTTACAATTGGACTCAATCTGAAGCATCTTTTCAAATCTAAATGATTTTATGATTCTATATGGATGTGTTTGACTGAAAGATTTTGAACATCTCATCATAAACATAAACCTTAGCAAAATATTCCTGGTAATCTCAAAGAAAATAAATAATAATTTTGTCATAACTGTTCATTTATTTCATTGACTATTTCTTGAGAGTATTCAAAATTTTTGCAGTGTTGAAATGTAATAGCACCTGTCCATGAGAGTCTGAAATTATTCAAGACCTAATCTGATAATCATTTGATTCGGAAACGTAAAGAGCCTTTAAACATATTTGTCTCAAGTAACTTTTCCAACAATATTAAAATTAAATTAAGTTAATATGATAACAGGTTAATATATCTTTGTTGTGCAAATGTGAAATTGCACAAAGCATCCAGCTGGCGAAAAGCATCCATACTGAACTCTCATGTTGCAGAAATGCTCAGCTGAAGTCTAACGTGTCTAGTATATTCAGCCTACCTACTCAATGTATAAAAGTTCACACAGGGAGACCAAGCTTCAGACACCCAAATTTACAGGAAAAAAAGGTCAAGGAAAATATCACCAGACTATTTCCATGATGAAAGCTATATGTAATGCACAATTTCTTTATGCTGCTCATTATTTTCCAGCTGAAAAGATTCTCTTCATTTTGAAGTCCCTTTTTTGAGGTCCTTTCCTTTGTAAAATTTACCTTTGTAAATTCTTCAAAACATGAATCAAATCTACTCATAATATACAGTGTCAAAGAATATTTTAATTAGAAGTCTGTGTACTTCTTTTCTCCTGTAATGCAAAAAAAGTTCTTTGTTGTAATTCAAGTCCATCTCACCTCTGCAACAGATGTAGTTTATACAGATTACAGATGCAAAACTCAGATAAGCATAAAAAGATGTAAAAGCATTTATGAGTCTAAAGAAATTCCACATTCCCAAAACAAGTAATTTATTCTGTTGGGAGAACTGTGGGCTTATTGAGTATGCAATTGGCTTTTTGTTCTTGCTTTCCATTTTTCCACATCATTCATCTCTGTCAGTGTATGTCTGCCTGTGAACACAGCAGAGAATCTACAACACTACCCAAAGAATACCTTAACTACAAAGGCACTGACAGAGTCAGAGCATATAATTACACAGACCAAGACAATGTCTTGTATTTGGAAAAAAATTTTGCCAGCATTGCAATAGGCAACTCTTTTACAAGAGTTTCCAAGCACCAACAAAAGACATACAAGTGACACACAGAGGATAGAAAAAGGAGCTCTGGCTCAATGGAACTGCTTATCTGAAAAAAAAAAAAATGCAATGGAAAGGCCTTCTGTAGCCAGTTGCCCAAGTGCATTTGTGCTCAGACTACCAGATTACTGCTGATGAAATTTTCACTGAGAGTTTTAGAAACTTAAAGAATTGAAGGAGCTCCAGTCTTGTGGTATCGTAATGGGTAGTAAAAAAATCAAACTTTCAGTGGATTTTTCCAGGGTGATTCCTAGTACAAAAAGAATTAATGTGTTTCCTTCTATGCAACAACAGAGACCTGTAACCTGCAAATATAAAACTGGCAAAAGCCAAAGCAGGCTCTAACACACTAAGTTCACTTTAAAAAATAAAAAGAGTTTACCTTTAAAAAAAAAGTCCCCCTACATTGGCGATATCAAAATGTTTTCTTTTGGTTTAACTCTTGGAAGTAAGATTTTGGAAGAAAGTTTAAAACAAATATAATCACAGTCTGGGGCAAGGAGACTTGCTGACTTTTCCTCTCATTCAACAGCACAATGTTAGGAAAGAAACAACGACCTGGCTTTTCCTCTCTCTTGATAGCTTTATTGAACAGCCAGAAAACGTTTTTCTGGATATTAATTGTTATTTTGATAGGGATAACTACATAAAGCAGCTGTTTTTAAAAAAAAAAAAAATGCTGCCTGATTTTTCACTCTTCAAATAAATAGTTCCTGAGCAATTTTTACTTCAACACTTATTTACTGGAACTGCTATTTTCATCATAATTTTGTGAAGCACAAAAACTTCACTAAACACTTTCCCTTTTCCCCATATCAACCAAAAATTAATAAAAACATGCCAAAGGCAACTGCTTATTAACTTCCATCCACTTTCTCATTACGATTCCTGTTCTCATCTCCTTCTTGATTTGGATGTTTGGATCAGAGAGAAGCTTGCTCCAAGGCTTACTTCATAGGTAACAGGCACTTGTTCATTTTAATGACTGTCACTTTTTCAACATGAATACAAGAAAGGCTTATTCTTTTATTCAAATAGTGGTCCAAGCATTATGAAAATAAGTTACGTGTAAAGCATTTCATGCTAGGCATGTAATGAACTTGAGAACAGCAACTGTTTTTAGTCCTTCTCACAATTTCTTCTGGCTATCTGTTAGAAGATGTGCTAGTCAGGGAACACACAGATATCTAGTGAGAAGGTGAAGATGAAAATGCAGAAGCGCTAGGTCTGAATGAGGCTAAACCCAACATTTTTTGACATTTCTCATGAAACTGGAACTTCTTCGGCCTGCAGCAAAATCAGTGCCTCAGTGAAATCAACGTCCCTGTCAGTTCTACTTCGAATAGTTTCTCCAGATTCTTAAGGCTCTGGGGACATCCTAACTTTCATAGTCTTTCATCTGTGACAGACCCTCCTGGCTCAGTTATCAAGACCCAGAGCTTCTGTTTTGCCTCATCAGATAGCATCTTGTCAAAGATCAGATTCAGATTTACATTACATTCACAATGCATATATCGCTCTCTCAGTGTTCTCAATGTGTTTTTATCTTACCCAGTATTTGTATTTGCCAAACCTCACGTCTGAACAGCAAGTACCCATCCTGTCCTCGGCAGAACATACAGACCAGGCTTACATCCTGCCTTGGGGCTTCTCTTCTTAGCAGCGCAGGGTCATTAACAAAAGCCCACAGCTAAAGATTCACGGCTGCCCCAGATATTCTCCTCAAGGTCTCTTATTTTCCCCACTTTCTTCTTTACTTTTCCTAGAGAGCTACCAAATTTTTTATTCTCACTTACAGGACAGTTAGCAAGTAATATTTAAAGAAATTCACAATGAAAAAACAAACAAACATAACTTTTTAATAAAGGATTTGTAAATAACAAACCTGCAGCTATATTAAGATCACGAGCAAAGAAAGTGGAATAGCTGTCTGTATTTTGCTGAGTTTATAACCAAACAGGTAATCAAGAAAGATTTTGAGAGCATCTAAGAGAAGAGGTATATTTAAAGTATAAAAAAATATTATTTTCACATCTTGCACTGCAAATCTACAGGGTTTCCTCTGGTCTGGACCAATGAACTTAGCAACTAAGCCTGCTCTTCAATGCTCTGTCAGAATACTTCAAAGCATTTACCCCACCAGATGTCAAACCATGCAAGTCCTTCTCACATCACTTTTAAATGCACATTGTATATGATTTTCTTCTTTTCTGTAAATGGTGAAAATATTATACATTGTTTTCTGGTACCACCTTTTTGAGATGTGAATGATGGTCCTTCCATCTTCTATTATGAAATTCCCTCCCAAAGCCACTTAATTCCAGTCAGCCTTCAACCTAATGTAGAAGGGAAAATATACCAGCACTAAAACAGAAGTGCCAGAAGTCTTAACTACTGCATGTGCCCTCCTGATCAGTTTTTAGCTGTAAAATGTATCCTTTGCCTCCACTGGTTTTTAGATGTAACCATAACATGGAAGCTTTGTTTATCCTTCCATTGTATGGAAGAAGTTGAATTAGCATAATACACAATATGTCCAGTCACTAGATATAACCCTTCAAATAAGTGACCACGAGTGCTACTGAGGACCTCTTCCAAACTGCCACTGGCACCAGGATGACACCACCAAATCTTGCAATTATGGTCATAAAAATGTAGCTTTGCATGCAGAGTGGGTCAGACACTCACCTTAGCAAGAATATTTCAGCTTTAGTAGAAGAAATTCCATTTTCAGCACCCACTGTACATCACTGAGCTTCACTGTAAACAACCCTGAAAGGCGAATTTAATTTCATTACTAGTTTCATTTCAAGTTTCTTATAAGTTCAGGCACAAAAATAATCAAGAAATTTATTGCAGAATCTTATCTTTGTCATATTGTTAAAGTTGTTTCTCTCAGTTTCATTTCCAGTCCTACAGTCCTATACCTTCTATTTCTCCTTGTCAAGGTACTTCCAAAGGGCTAGAGCCATCTAGCAGAGAACAGACATAAAGTATGAAATAAATTACAGAGTATTTTAATCTGGTGTCTCTGACGGCTAAAATATGATCTCTACAGAATTTACATAATTTGTTTATATCATAGAACCATCCTTTTATTCACACTGATTATTTATTTTCAGTGAGTTTCAGAAGCTTGTACTCTATGTATCTGGATAAAACTCTCAAGCTGCTTGTATACTTAAATGTTAGAAAAATCACTGATGGAAGACCCTGCAACTGGCATGTTTGGCATGCATTTATTGAAATTTCTTCTAAATAGACTTCATTAGCCTGGGAAATATAATACATAAATTTTTATATTTTTTAAATCTTTTCCATTATTTCAACCCGCTCTTTATGCCAACTTTTCCCTACCGAAATGTCTCTGGCATAAACTCTGATCAGAGGTACTTGTCCTACTGTGCTATTCTTCCATTTTTGCAGTTGCATGTTCCCAGGCAGGACATTATGTCTCCCAGAAATCAACCCCATCCTGCGGATGGTCACAGGTCTCTATGGCAGTGGGATGTCATGGGAGTAGAGAAGGAGATTGCAAGGCAATGTGGAGAAAGGCTGTTGCTCTTTCTTCAACCTTACACAAGAAATAACTCCATATCTGGAAATGACGCCCAAGGAAGCTGAGTAAATAAGGTGAGACTCTCTCAGCAGCCTCACCACACAGTACTAGCAAGAACATGGGAAGAAGGATATAGGTCTTCCCAAGGCTAAATCAAAGAGAGCTGCTAGAACTCATCTGACATCTGTTGCAAATGACTGGTTTGGTTGCTTAAAGAAACACCATGAAAGATCTTGGCAAAAGCAAGGTTTAACATGACTTTGTGAAAATGCAACTTGACAGGGTTTGATAGCACTTGACAGGGTTTGAAGGTTCACTCTATTACTTACTACACAGGATAAAGCATACAAAGGAAGATCAAATTAAAGCAATTTGGAATGATTTACATGAAGCTGGTAATGCGAAAGGGGGTAAAGGTGCAAAGGATAGAGATGTAGATAAGAGTGCAAAAACGTTTAGTAGCACTTAATCATTAAGTACTTTAACATTTACAAAGTGATCCTATAGGGTTTATTACAACTAGAACTATTTCTATAGATTTGAGATAGTAACATTCATACAATAATCAAGTCACAAGCACACTGGTAAAACGATGTATACGCCTATTTCTGTGTGTAAAGGTATCTATCAAAAATTCCCCTTGGTCTCAATGAAACACATCAAATTTATGTTTCCCAAGAGGCAAGGGTTACACCTTGAGGAGTGTGGAGATGTGTGTGTGGGAGTTGTAAGTCTGGGCCTCATTATCAGCGACGGTTCTTCAAGTATCACATGCTTGATACTTGCAAGCTCTGAGGGGCATCTCACTCAGAGGGAGGTGCTGACACAGCTTACTACAATCCAGAAGAGCTCAGAGGGTCTCACTTAGGACTTCTCTATATAGTGTCACAAGATGATTGACTTTGGTTTTCATCCTGGCCATAAGCCAAATCAGTAATCAACAGGCTTTTTTCCCAGACTACAGTAAAAATGGTACCATTCTACTAAGGCTAAAATTCACAATGATACCGCTGCACTCAGCCTATGATTCAGGTAAATGGTTTGCCAAGGCTACAGAGGAGTTTATCCTTTATTTCCTACCATGATTGGGCAGCTGATGTTTCTGATAGTTCCCACCTCTACCATGCAAGAGCCCCTAGTACGATCAGGGCATGCCTCACAGCTCAACTGGTAAGGTCAAGAGATACTTCACCACTCAGACAGTTTTGTCAAGGCTTATCAGGAGCTTCTGAGATCAGGGCCAAGGATGGGGGTGGAGGGGATGCACCACCACAACAGCTAACAGCGGAGTTGGAATACAGTCATTGTTTACTGAAGAAGCTCAGAGAAAAAGAGATGTGCAATGAGCAGTCATGTGCATGCCCAGAGGCTGGCAGGATGTACAACTGGAAATCAAGTTTCTTATGTTGCCTTCTAGCCTACCCTTTAAATATTTCTTGCCTGGAAATTTTTCCTTTTTCTTTCCTGATTTTCATTTTTCTTGCTTGTCTGGTCTTTTATGGACCCTTTGTTTACTAGGCTTCTATTCTTTCTTGAAGCTGAAAAGTAATACTGCACAATCTCTCTCAGACTTTCTTTTCAGCAATTCTCATCTTCCTTACAGACACAACAGAAAAGAACTCAGCCTTTACTTTTCCAACACAGGGTTTGTTAATCACATGTTAATGCATACCATTCATTAATGCATAAATGTAAGCATTTCAAACCTGAAAGGACATGTAAGTCATGAGCTGAAATTCTCAATTACTGTTTGCATTTTAATGTTTCATGATCTGCAATATCATGCACAATATTTTTCAAAGTTATGTGTAATGAAGGTGACCTTTTCACTTCTCAGGAAAACCCTAAATAATTAATTATCTGACTGGTGCAAACATCAATAAACATAGTCATAATTTCTTGAGCTTTCTGACAGAAGTGGGGGAAAACAACACATTCGGGTCTCATGAACATAATTTACGGAAGCTGGCCTTCTTTGGATTTACAATGCTCTCTGGTGGCTAGATCCGGCATCTACAAGTCAATAATCTGCTACCCTAAGAATATCCTTAGTCTTTTTGGCTGTTGTGGTCACTCTCATATTGTCACAGAATATTAAAAATGTCAAAATCTGCCAAAACAGATGTTTTAGAGAAACTTGCTCTTTTTTTTTTCCCCCTCACTGAGCAAATTGCCCAGGTTGTCCATTTAACAAAAGCACTCTCCAAATAGTTAACTATTTGAAAACAGTGTGAAGAAAAGAAAAAGTTTGCTCCTGCCATCGTAAGAATAATTTAACATAACCTTTACCTTAAAAAATATTAATTTTAATGTGCATTTTTAAAGTCTATTATTCACAGGTTTTCACAGTATCACAGAATGGTTGGGACTGGTTGCTTAAAGCCCCATCTAACTTAGCCTTAAACACTTCCAGGGATGGGGCATCCACAGCTGATCTGGGAAACGTATTCCAGTGTCTCACCACCCACATAGTAAAGAAGTTTAAACCTACTCTTTTTTTAGTTTAAAGCCATTATCCCATGTCCTGTCACTACATGTCTTTGTATAAAGTCCATTGCCATCTTTCTTGTAGGCCCGTTTTAGGTACTGGAAAGCTGCTATAAGATCTCCCTGGAACCTTTTCTTCTCTAGGCTGAACAGCCCCAAGTCTCTTAGCCTGTCGTCATAGGAGGGGGATTCCAATCCTCTAATCACCTCCATGGCTCCCCTCTGGACTTGGTCCAGAAGGCTTGCATCCCTTTTATTTTGGGGACCCCAGAACTTGATGCAATGCTCTAGGTGGGGTCTCACAAAAGTGGAGAAGAAGGGCAGAACCACCTCCCTTGACCTGCTAGTTATATTTCTTTTGATGCTGCCCAGGAGGTGGTTGGCTTTCTGGGCTGTAAGTACACATTGATAGGTCATGTCCAGCTTCTCATCTACCAACACCCTCAAGTCCTTCTCCTCAGGGCTGCTCTCAATCCATTCTGCGTTCCACCTGTATTTGTGTTTGGGATTGCCCCAACCCCGCTGCAGAAATTTGCACTTGGCTTTGTTGAACTTCATGAGGTTCACATAGGCCCACCTCTCAAGCCTATCAAGGGCATTCATTCCCTCCAGTGTGTCAATCACACCACACAGATTGGTGTCACTGGCAAACTTGCTGAGGTGCACTCAATCGCACTGTCCATATTGCTGGGTAGGTGTTAAACAGTGTCAGCTGCAATATCAGCCCTTAAGCAAAACCACTCTCACTGGTCTCCACTTGGACGTAGGGCCATCGACTGCAACCCTCCCAGTGCAACCACCCAGCCAATTCTTTAGGCACCAAGTGGTCCATCTGTCAAATCCATGTCTCTCCAGTTTAGAGACAAGGGTGTCATGCAGGACAGTGTCAAATACTTTGCGCAAGTCCCAGTAGATGATGTTGGTTGCTCTTCCCTTGTCCATCAATGCTGTAACCCTGTCAGAGAAGGCCACTAGATATTTCATGCACAATTTGCCCTCAGTGAAGCCATGTTGGCTGTCACCAATCACCTCCTTATTCTCCATGTACCTTAGCATAGCTTCCAGGGGGATTTTTTCCATGATCTTGACAGGCACTAAGGTGAGACTTACTGGCCTGAAGTTCCCTGGGTCTTCCTTATTTCTCTTTTTAAAAATGGCAGTTATGCTTCCCCTTTTCCAGTCAGTGGGAACTTCATTGGAGTGCTACAACCTCTCAGATATCATGAATAGTGGCTTAACCACATCCTCTGACAGTTCCCTCAGCATCCATGGATGCATCTCATCAGGTCCCATGGGCCTGTGCACCATCAGGCTTCTTAGAGGTCTCAAACACGATCTTCTCCTACAGTAGGTGGGTGGTTCATCAGTCCCTGTCTTTACCTTTTGTGTCTTGGGCAGTGTGGCTGGAGCATATGCTGGTGAAGACTGAGGCAAAAAGTCATTGAGTACCTCAGCCTCCTCCATATCCCTGGTAGCCAGGTCTCCCATTTCCTTTCAGAGAGGAACCACATTTTTCCCAATCTTCTTTTTTGTCACAAACATACCCAGAGAAGCTTTTCTGGTTGCCCATGACATCACTGGCCAGATTTAATTCTATCAGGTCTTTAGCTTTCCTAACCTGATCCGCAGTTGCTAGGACAATTCATCTGCATTTCTCACAGGCTAGCTGTCCTTGATTCCATCCTCTGTAGGCTTCCTTTTTGTGTTTGAGTTTGTCCAGGATCTCCTTGTCATCCACACAGGACTGCTGGCAGTTTTGTTTGACTTCCTTTTTGTTGGGATGCATCGCTGCTGAGCTTAGAGGAGGAGATCCTTGACTATCAACCAGCTCTCTTGGACTCCTTCCCTCCAGGGCTCTATCCCATGGTACTCTATCAAGCAGATCCCTGAAGAGGCCAAAGTCTGCTTTCCTTAACATCAGGTTATATCACCTGGACTATCAGTTTGCAGATATATCAATAAGTCTTCTTGAGAACCACAAGTTCAATGTTAAAAAAAAAATGTGCATAGAATTGAGGAAAATTATTCATCCTGCCAGTGTGTGCACAGCCCAGATCTACCTCCATGCTCCTCCATTTCAAATGTGTACTGAGCAAAGTTTCCAGACCTGCATTTTCTCATGCAATAAGGTGGGATATGGGAGTGCATGTGAGGCAGACATGGCAGAGCTGTAGGCAGACTGGTACCACAGAACCACACTCTGGTGACACCCATGTACTCATGACAAGGCACAGCAGAGGGGTCCATCCTGCTACGGAGTCTACTCTCATCCACTTCACAGCCCCACGAAGCTCTTCACAGTGCTCCCCTTTCACTTGCTTTACCAAGTAGAAGCTAGCCAATTAACTGTCTCATTAATCTCAGATGCAGAGAGAGGTGGGCTGTAAACTGCCATTGAGCTCAAGAACATACCAACATCAAATGACTTGGTGGGAAATACCTTCTCTGTGAGGTGCTGTTCAAGGCACGAACCCCACTCAGACACGAACGAGTGCCAGAGCAGAATTACCGTTTATTTAAACTGCTTAGGTTTAAATACCACGCTTGAACATGTCACATGACCTTCCAACCAATGACAATCAAGTATTGTCTGAGAACCCGGGAGACTACAACTCCCATGGTTCCTTGTTACATTCTTCCTGCCACGTCTCTGTTGATCTGCATTGGGGTAATAGACTTAGGAAGAAAATGCTAAAGTCTGCAGGAGCGTGGTATTTTCGCTTCTGTCTAATTAAGTATAAACCATAAAATCTTTCACGTGTACATAATACAACTTCCTCCTGAGGGGAAGAGGAGGGGCAAGCACTGATCTCTTCTCTGTAGTAACCAGTGATAAGATCCAAGAGAATGGCCTGAGGTTGTGTCAGGAGAGCTTTAGGTTGGATGTTAGGAAAAAGTTCTTCACACAGAGGGTGGTTGGGCACTGGAAGAGGCTCCCCAAGGAAGCGATCACAGCACCAAGCCTAAGAGAGTTCAAGAAGTGTTTGGACAATCCTCTCAGGCACATGGTGTGACTCTTAGGGATGGTCCTGTGCAGGACTAAGAGTTAGACTCAATGATCTTTGTGGGTCCGTTCCAATTCAGCATATTCTGTGATGATGCCTCAAGTTCTCAAAATCTTCCAAATTCATTGACTCACAGGCATTCGTGTAAAGAGACAAAATACTGTTGATGATGTTCAATTATTCATTTGATCAGTAAATCTTCTAACTTCAAAAGCATAACTTAAGAAGAATCTCTCCATTAGGCTACAACAATTTTGTATTTACCAGATTCAACCTCATCCATGAGAAGTTAGGAAAAAATAGAGGCAAGGAAGAGATGTAGGAAATTCAGAATCAAGAGGAGAAAAACTCCAGTGAGCTGAGCACTCATTGTTAATTAGCATCTCTCACTGATTTGGGCATTTTGCTTTAAAAAAAATCTAATTTTATTTAACTGGTTTTACTAATAGATTAAAAATAGCAGCTCAAAAGAAACATAAAATGCAGTGTATGAAGTGCAATATTTAAGCCTGCTTCATATACAATTTTCAAAGAGAAAATTCAAGGACAAGAACTGTTTTTTTCTTCCTGATGTTGTTCTCTTCTTGCTAAATTTGGGTTGCCCTTCAAATATTTCAGAGTTTGTATATAACCTTGACATTCTTCCTCTCTCTTACCGCACAGGTAATTTTAGCATGATTGTCGAACAGTTAGTGAATAATTACCTTGAAAAATAAAGAAACAGAAAACTAACCTCTAAGAAGATTTTCATTTTTACAGACACTAGTCAAATTACTGAATGTAAACCAAAGGATAAGACTTAAAATTCTTCCTTGCAATCATTATGTCTTTGCAATACCAAATGTCTGCTTTTAAAGAGCAGATATACTTGTTTCAAAGACACTGTAACCTTTTACCGTTTTGCATGATAGGTTTTTCTGTTCAAGAGCATGCTGCAGAGTGCTAAGTAAAAAACACAAAAATATTTTGTTTAATAAATTATCCATTAGCAGGTCATAGCATCATTAAAATTATTTTCTGTTATGTTGCATGCTACGTATTCTCACAGGTACTAGATCACTTTGAACATCTTGAAATTTGAAGATGTAATTCTTAGCTCTGTGTAGGGAAATATGCACATAAACACCAGAAAGTGGATGGATAAAGCAGTTTAAATTATTTTTTTTCTCCTAATCTCCTTAAATTATTTTTCAAGCTTCTGGCAAGCCATAATTCATTTTTATCCAAAAAGAAACAAGACTTATGTAATCATCTTTTATGTATACATAGCATATGTGAGTTTGCACGGCCTGTAATTTTTGCTTATAGTATACACTATTAAATTTGACAGAGAACAAATTCTGAGTTTCTAAAATTTAAAGAAAAAAAAATCAGCCATTTGGACGAGGATGGTTTTCTTAGTACCTTCACTGAGAGCATGTAGTTTGATCTCTCAAAAAACCATTCAGAAATCCACTGAGAAGAGGAATGTTATGAAATATCCAGCCATGGAAATGCTGTAGTTGGAACTCACTGCTTATTTGACAGCAGCAAAAGCAGCAGAGGAAGCAATTCTAAAAACCAGACTTCATCATTTCTATTTTCCATGATGCTGCTTGTTTTTGCACAAGGGCATTATAATAGTAAACCACTGATGACATTGAAATACCTCTGTTACTTTACAGTTTCCTTTATTTTTTTATTTTGTTTACTTTTTAAATACATTTTAAATTATACATAAAAATAAAATTATAATCATCTCAGTGTGTTATTCTACCACTTCCAAAGAGAAAAACTGCTGAAAAATGAACAAAAAACCCAAACACAAACGTGATCATTTGATATATGCTAGTAGCTTTCAAATGTTACTCTGGGTTTAGGCTTCATATATAAACTTCAGGATGAAAAGTGTCAAATTCCCTTAAAATACAACTGACATTACATATCATTAATTTGCATGAATATGTATTTGGTTCTGCCATATCTGTGGCCATTCATATGCCAATTTTTGGATCAGAGAAGTGAATTAATTAAGACTACGGTGTATTTAAAAAAAGCCTTGCCAAAAAATTATTTTACTGTATAAGCATATTGAAATGTCAAGATTACATTAAATGAGTTACAGAAAAGACTATACTGCTAACATTTAACCTCAAGTCTTTTATTACAGTGCTGCGTTGTGTAGCCTTTTGGTGCGGGTAAGCAGCTGCTCCTGTCACATGCTGAAGCAGATGTGAGCTTTAACACAATCATCTTTTTGCCACTAGCCTTCCAGAGGGCCTGTTCAAGTTTCTTTTTGACCTGGTTGGCTTAAAAAATTGCACCCACATTGTTGCAGTTCTTCTTGGTTTCTTTCTTTAGTGTTCCTATAGCTCATTGTTAAAAGCAAAATTGGTGAGATGGCTTTCTTTCAAAGAACACTTTATGAAAGGCAGGAACATATCAACACTGATGTCAACATGAGATAGCTGTGTGAGGCTCCTTAGCATTTCAAACAAGAAAATTTCAGAAATACACAGTTTGGCTCTCTGGGCTTGAAGACCAATAAAATCTATGGGATTTTTTTTTTTTTTTTTTGAAAGACAAGGCAACCAGAAGGAAATACATTGAATTGCAATGCAAAAAATCCTGATCACAGCTAGAGGGTCAATGCAGTCTTTTGTATTAAATGTGTACACTGCTATGCTGACAGAGTGTACAGCTGTGATGCCACTACACACAACCTGGAGACTTAACTGGAAAAACTGTATAAAATATTGCATAGAATACTCTAATGAGTATGGAGGGTAAGTTTTAGGCTCCACACCATGTGACCGCAACATGTACTTTAACCCTGCCTAACTCACCCTTTGATAATGCCCTTTCTAGAGCTCCTGAGAGCAAGCATGAGCAGGAACAGACAGCAAGTGATATTTCACTTCCACTCTTACCCATGAAATTGGAGTCTCAAAAACAAATTGCATCTATGCTCAAAATCACAAATGGGCAAGGCTTTTTCCTGTGAGTCATACATCCTTCCATCTTACAGAAGAAGAGAATCACTCTTAAACCAGAAAAAACCTTTGAGCATTATATGGCATTTCCTCAGTCTTAACCAAAGGTATAGTGATAGACTTCACTGAAGGTTGTCAAGAAACACAAATTTCAGTGTATCACAATGGAAGCTTAGAAAAAAATTGGAGAAATATGAAATAATAGCTAGGTAAAGATATTGAGATTTAAATTACAGTTTCTGGCAACTTAAAGCAGAGAAGCTATAGCTACCCTACACTACAGCTATAGCGTACCTATGTGCATTTTACAACTTTTTTTCCTTCTGAATTTTGGATGATGTTGCAGAAATAATATAAACTGATGAACATTACCTTTTTATATCTGTTGGGGTTTCTTTATATTAGTAAAATATACACTTGTTTTTCTCAAAGCAGAAAGTCAGGCAGGCAGATAGTGAGCAAATCTGAGTTTTAGTCATCACTCTATGTTGTAAACAATGGCAAAACTTTGTGAGTGAATTACAGATTATTATGGATTTCAATCACATAGATATTGTTGAGTAGCTTAAAAAGCTTTATTTCTTTATCATTCTTTTACTAGTTTTATAGCAGAACATTTGTCCTCAGTTTTATATATAAATATGTAACTGGTCAATGTGATTGATTTGTACCTCTTTTTGAAAGGCAGCTTAAATTGATCCCACTGAATTTTGAAAAGCAAAAGTACAATGAATTCAAGGTGGCCAGTGTGACAGGCAGATATGAAAATACTATGCTCTCTCTTAAAAATCTGAACATTTGTTTTGGATCTCTTGAAGGCTTTGCTCTAGAATGAAAGGCATCCAAACAGAAAGTTACTTTTCTGTAGGGAATACATGGAAAGTATGACAGTGTCAATGAAAAAGCAAAATGCATCACTTCTGTATATCAATACGAATGGATTAAGTATTTTACGAGTCATAAGTCTCTTCAGACATATCAAACCATACTAAAGATTAAGTGATTTTCCGAAGTCTGGGCAGAGGTTGTCGGATATCAGAATCACAAGATAGTCAGATGTTGAGAGATACAGTCATATCTCGCTTTCATAACATTAAATGCAGGGTTCCAAACAGGAAAAAGGTCAGTTGTAACAGTATACTCTCTGTTTCATGGTCTTATTGCTAATGAGATGCCATTTTCAGCAAAAAAAACTTTTCCTGTTTTTTTCTTCTTAGTCATAACAATAGACACCTGTGGGTCTTTGTTGGAATTATTTGGTAACAATTTTGCTTATTCTCTGGGCTTATACTAAGGAAATCGCAAAAGAGCTGCCGGTCACAGACACAGTGGCTATATTTTACAAGCTTTATCCAATATACTCCTATGCTACAGCATCTTAAATATAGTCTCTTTCCCTTCTTTTATTACACTCTTAGGTTTGAAAAAGGATGGATTTCCCAAGTGTGATGAGTTCTCACAGTACCACAGACATTGCATGATTTGGTATTCATCCACGCCTGAGTACCCTGGGACTGCA